AATGATTTCCATAATACGGTAATCGTCTTGTGCCATTTCTGGTGGCTTTCTGATTGATTAGATTATTTTCTTCTTCTGTTGATATAAAATTGGTACGTCAGCTTGTACTTAATTTTCAGCTTTCTTTGCTAGTGTATCATCTTTCCCATTTATGGAAACTCCACAGTGGGATAATAGCCTTACACTGGTTTCCTAGTTTGTAGAGTAGTGTTCGTATGCCCGGGTAATTTTCTAAATTGAAGTGCCTGAAGAACCGCTCTTGCATCTATAAAGAATATCAGGAATTGTGAAATATGACTGGTATTAAGCAGTTTCTCTGCTGCTGACTTGATGGCTCGAACTTCTGCATCATAGTTGTGACAGTGCTTTCATTTTGGTATTTTGGCTGTATCTTAAGATTTGTGACGCCGAATTATAGAAATTAATATGCAAGGAACAAATCTATAAAGCTCTGCCTTACGCCATGTAAATTGCATTTTTAGTATGGCTTCTTTCTTTTTGTTTTTGTTTTTGTTACTCATTTGAGCTTTATATAGTATTTTTACAGTCACGCAGATACACACACACTTCAAAGTTTTTTTTCCCCTTGCCTGTGTATTAATTTTCCAGAGTGTATGCACGTACGCGCGCACACACACACACAAACACACCCTAGCACCAACAACAGTACAACTACAAGAACTCTACTCAGAATGCGTTAACCATGGTCTGTAGATCAACGCAGACAAAACAGAAGTTATGATATTCTCCAGAAAAGGAAAAGCCACCAATATCACAACTGATGAACACGCGTTAAAGCAGGCAAAGAGTTATTCATATCTAGAGAAAATTTTTTTTCGTCAGAAGACGTAAGAATTAAAAAAGGAACCCAACAAAGATGCAATAAAGCAAATTAAGTTTTAGATCATATGGCACCAATTTTAAAATGCAAGTATGTGAATATGAACACTAAAAGAACACTGTTCAACACAATATTCTTACCATCGCTATGCTAACAATGTCAAACATGGACACTATCTTCAGAATGAAAATAGTCTCGACAGAAGTGAAATGTTTACGTACTATGCTAGGTGTAACGAGAAAAGATGGACTTAGGAACGATTATATCAGGGGGGGGGGGGGGAATCAGCACAGAACCAATACTGAACGTTATAAGTTGACAACGGACCAAATGCTTTGTGCAATGCTCAGGGGATCTGACTGATGCTCAACACGCAGGAGGGAAAGGTGAGATGGACAGACAATCCGACCGTTACAGTTACCATCAGAATTGGAACCTTTAGCTGGCTAGCGAAGATAAAGATGGATCGCTTATCGGAATGTCCCGAGTGCTATAATGCCGGTTTTTAACTCTTCCCAATGAAGACCCCAAAGTAACTTAGAAAACTGTAAATTATTACGTAAAATAATTCTTCAAATTAATTTCTGGAATATAATAATACAGAATGATATGATATGTATTCAGTAGCGGCAAAGAAGTCTTAGAAATACCTTTACAATCGCTGGAATCAACAGTTAGGATAGAAAGAAGAAAAACAAAACAGGTTCTGAAATGGAAAGCACGTGAATTAAGGAAGCGAGGACTTTTAAACAGAAAATTGATGAGAAAGGCCAGAGATGATGAAAAGGATTGCAAACACGATATCGAAAGAATTGGATAGAATATAACGGAATGGAGGAATCGGTGGAGACCCCAATGTAACGTTTAAAGAACACAATCCCCGGCTCTCTAGCGAAGTTGGTTAAAGCTGACTTTCGCGGCGGCCGGGTGACGAACTGCTTGTGGTCCGGGTTCACTCCCGGGGGTAGGCAAAAAAGCCACATTTCTCCCAGATTAACGGTACCTATAATGGAATCAATGCCGAAGGGTTGCGATATCCATAGTACCGAGCCAAAGGGTTTACAACTCATGGTTTCTGGATACGTTAAAAAAAAAAAAAAAACACACACACACACAATAGGACGATGACAATATCAAACCATGATAAGAACAATTTAGAGTAACTGTCACATCGTCGCTTTAGTGCTGGATAAATTCACTATAGAAATAATTCCGACGCGCTGGTAATCTAGTGTTCTGTCTCCCGAAACAAAACAAAAAATCTCTGCATCTGTATGTGGTGAGGATGGTGTAATGTCTTTGTTTCTGACGCAGCACCAAAGTATCATACCCGCGGTCAATGTTGTTAATCTTTTCTTCACGTCCCAGGGAGCTGCGTTATCTCGAGGCATGGTGTCCGCCTAGAGTGCTAGAAGTTCCGGGTTCAATCCCCTGTAAGGGCTGCGATTTTTCACGTGGACTTGGACTTCTAGTCATTTTCCCTTGGTCTATGGGTAGTGAGATTAGACGCGCGTGTGCATTTTTGCGCACGTACAAAATCCCTTGGCAGTTGGAAATCGAAAAGAGTAGCCTAACGGCACTGCCTGGGCAAAATTTGGAGTTTAACATCTACCAAAGTACTTTAGGATCCTCACCGGTGCTACAGAGCCTGTGCACTGTGCTTAGCTTCTTTGGACTCAGACTTGAGTTAGAAGAAGAACGGAGCACTTATGGGTTACACCCGTGTGCCATAATGTTGATCCGTTGTTCAAAACCTCAAACTTCTTTACGTCTTGAAGCTTAAAAAACCGTCTGTGTATGCAAAGTTGGTGTTGTTTCGGCGACAGTGTCGCTCCTTGGCTCGCTGGTAGACGACTTCGTCGCGGGTTGAGACAGCATTCGGGTTTGTCTCCTTTGATAGCATCAACACCACAGGAGTCATTTTCAGGGCTTTTAGTGACGTTCAATGCTAAGCCATTTTAAATGCCCTACACAACATAGTCACAATTATAACCTAAAGCTCCCCCTTTGGGGGTGTTGGTTGAATGTGACATTTTTTCTTCTCAAAAGCTGATTCTGGTGATGGTTGGTGTTGGAATTACATGTATGCTCCTTTGTTTTTAAAGTTTTCTTTTATCACTATATGCTAGGTGCCACTAAGCGTCGCAGTTTAACAGAAGATAAGTAGCCGAGCCAGGGCATACACTCTATTGGTTGATATGCTGTGAAGTTGTGAAATCTTAGTTTTCAGTAACTCCTTTGATCAAAATCTTGGGTTTTCGGTAACACATTTGATCAAAATCTTAGGTATTCAGTAACTCATTTGATCCAAATCTTGGGGTTTCAGTAATACCTTTGATCCATATTTTCTAGATCTCCCCTCTGTCTCTTGGTGGAATCCACTGCTGTCTTAGGACACATAACGAGGTGTCTCAAGTCTCTTCCACTGTGAGATTCTCGTACCACTGTTTCAAACACCAAATGAGCGATTAAAAAAAAAAAAAACCGCCCGCTGTGGGAATTAAATATTAGCTGTTGTGCACCATGAAACTGTTTAAATAATAATCTCACAAGGTCACGATTTCATCTTAGTATTTATTGATTGTCCCAGATGAAGCCTAGGTTGGTATCATAACTCCACCGGGCTTGGGTTTTTGTGTGTGTCAATAGAATCCTAGTAAACTGCAAATAGTGAAACAATTGTTTGTGTTGATAATAACTATCCATTCAGTGAACTCATCTTCCACTTTTGTATCTGGCATACAAAGCAGACTTGGACTGTGTGGTGTGGTGTCTTGTCGCAGGATGTTTTTTAGTTGCTGCCTTTTTGGTAGTAAGTTAGTTGCGTATTCTTTTTTGAAAGTTGCAGAACAAACCCTTGCAATTTTTGGCTGTCGTGGTTTTTCCATGCTAATATATGTTCAGTTGTTTGCTATTGTTTACTGAAGGGTTGACTCTGGATACCACTGAAAGAATATTAACAGTCTGTGAATGTTCAGTGACGTGAATCATCTGCTATACCAGCTTCTAGTGTTACAGAGTAGACTAAAACCGTTGTATTCATCAGCATACAGCAGGTCCTTTGCAGAACGTTGCTCTCATCACGGCCTGTCTGAAAGAAACTCGGTCTCTCGCCAGCTCTCCTTCCTGCTTTACTTTAGTATTTAAGGAATCACGTATTATCTTGTACCCATCTTCGTGTTGGTCGGTCCCTGCCCCTCTTTCCTGGTACCATGCCTTACCGTTGTATTATATGAGGATTTTCTGAATGTGAAGTATTTTGTTATTAGTGTCACTAAAAACAGTTCCTCTAAGTCTGAATCATCTCCCTCGGTGATAGAACAGTACAGCGTCTCTTCTGCTATCTATCAGTGTCGAAAGATGCGTACATCGAAATTGAAAGCTTTCTAAGAAGAGCCGAAGAGTGTTCTTTGAGCGGAAAATTTAAGGTACCAGCAATTTCAGTTAGTCGTTTTCTAGAACAGCTCATCTGAGCCATTCCAAACCTTGCACCCAAATGACCATGGATGGAAAATGCACATGGACATGCCGTTCTTTGATATTAACAATTAGTTTAGGTATTGTTATTCTTTTCCCACTGTCAGGTTAAGAAAAGTTTCTTGTCGAAGCTTCAAAAGAGCATTTTTCACCACAATCATTGAAGATGTAAATCTTTATAGTAATAAAGAAGTAAATGGGTATGACAATATCCCATAGGCTGTCACTTCAAACATCTATTTCTTGTAGTTCATCCTCTCTAGAGAAGTAGTTTCTGCCATAATTATCGAAAGTTCAGATCGTTAAATAATTAAATGTAGAATCATCTCAAGCGTGGTAATATATTATCTGTTACATAATATGCCCTCTAATTTCAGCTCCTCTGTGTTTATCTTGTTGTGTGTTTTCCCATATAATAGTGGAATATACTAGTCTTCACTTAGATGATCTCAGGCTGTTTCACAACGCTATCCATGTTACTTGATAATCACAAAGAATACTGTATGCGTCATTTTGGAAAAAAATTTTCCCCACACGAAGAATGACATCACAAAGGAACACAACTGTTCGGGCAATGAAAGATTTGGTAGGACAAAGAATGTACATGACTTACTCCAGTACAAGCGTGCAAAATAACTGAAATCACACAGGTTAAGTACATCATCGGTTTTGCAGACATCGTTTATATACAGGGCGAGTAGGTTTTCAGCTCACCAAATACATCGGTGAAAAAACCAGGGTCGCGATTGAGTCTGAGCATACTGGAGCTATGTTTGTTGACCACAATCAGACACCGGTCCCAGAAACGGTCCTTGTTCTCCTCAACTAGAAACGGCTTCAGTGGGTAGCTAATCTCATTGCCCATGTAGGAGTAGGAGAGGTACAAGCAGGTGAGCACGTACGCCTGCAGGTCTAGCTCATGAGCAATGTCATTGGACGGCAGGTCTTTCACCAGTAGAAATATGAACACGACGTTGGCAGGGTTGATGAACGCGATGTCTTGCCATCCTTGCAGAAGCAGAGACCTGTCTACGCTCCTCAGCCACAGAATTGCGTCTGAGGCTTCGAACCTCTTAAGGCGCTTGCATTTTCGCTTCAGGAACTCTCCGAGGCATTTCAGCAGCTCGGATGTAGATGCTTGAATCACTGTTCTCTTGGGACTTGGTGGTTTTTCTACCTTTTTGAATGACGTTGGCTTCACCGGTTCTGTAAATACTTCAGTAGCGGCCTTTAGATTGTAGCATGACACCGATTTTTGAAAGTTGTTGTTCAGATTAAAATTTTCAATGTTGCAGTTGCTGTCAAACTTGGAGCCGTTCAGGAAAGAAGAGTTGGATAGTTTGATCTGATTCTTCTCTTTCTTCTTTGGATTAACGGTGAATTTTTTCCAGCTCAAAGCGCTGAGAAATATTGAGTGCTTTTTGAAGCTTTTATCTTTACTGCTTCCAGTATTGTTGTTAATACTTGCCGCATTCTTATGGTTGTTGAGTACTTCGTAACTATAGTTGTTGATGTTGACATTTTGGCCTAGAGGTCGCCGAGATGGCGGCGATAACGACAGAACGGTACCCATCTTTCACACACAATATGGCGACCAACTGATGAATTTATCGGAATGACACTGGAGCGGCTGGCACTTTTAGCGCCGTGACTCACAAACTACGCACTCCATTTTCATCGGTCACAATCAACACTTTGTTCATAATAATGACAATAATAACAACCTGAACGGGACTGTTTATCACATTTAGAACATAAATTTCTAATTCAACAATTCTAATAAAGACTAGCACACACTTCCTATGTTGTGTAATTCCGTCAACCTACAGACCTACACATCTAGCACTAGACTTGTCCCTTAATCAGGGGTCTTCTTCTCCTCGCAGACGGATCGATAATCAGCATAATGTGCCGAGACGACATCATCACCATAGCGACAAGTGGAAGTCACGTTTCCACCAATAGCAGAACTGCTTTCCGGCATCGATCTACAGGTTTCTGCTGGGCTTGTGGCTAATCTGACTCCCCATCGTCCCGCCACATTCTTCTAACTCCTTTCCTTCCAGCTTATTTGAAATTCATGACCGTGTTTGTTGCTTACATCTTTAGGAACCAGACAGCATCTGGTCATCTGAGCCCCTTTCCCAAGCTGTAGAGCTTATGAGGCCTCTCCGCCCCCCTTTCCCCGAAAAACAACCCCACACAATTGTATAAGGAGGCTAAGCAGTCACTTTTATCCGAACACATCAACTATTCTTAAAAGTATTTTATTTGTTTTTATATTTATGATTTACCATTCAGCACAGTATTCTTATATTTATTATTATACTGTTAAACTAGGGTTAATGCTAATGAGCCCATTGCCTAGAAAACGTTTAAAGGGGAATAGGGGGATGTTAAGAAGCGGGAAGGTGCCAGGGGGAGCTGGGCGACCCGTGTTTGTTTGGTGTTTGTGTGTTGGTACCTCTGCCCGGCAGAGTCCAGAAGAAAGATGGAGGCTAGAATAAAGAAACGGAGAATTACCGCTAAGGATGAGTTAAAAAAGAAAAAGAAAAAAAAAAAAAGAAAAGAAAAGGGCAACACAAGGAGAAGGTGGGGGAGAATGGCTTAGAAAGTGGAAAGATAAAAAGAGGACGTTGATAATGAGAAGGGATAAGGCAGAAGGGGAACAAATTCACACACATATACAAACACACACACAAAAAACACACATATGTGCGGACACAATTTAAGTCACCCGAAGTCCGCAATTGACATGTGACTGTTAGGGTATATTTTCGGCCTCGATAATTTGAAACCGTTATTCGGAAGATAGCCATTATGAATTATTATACAAAGACATCTTGTATCAACTGATCAACCAACCAGGCCCAGGAGATGAAGGCTGCAGCTGTCAGTTATCTCTGACCTTTCTTATCACAAACATATTCAAGATCAGACTAGATCAAAAGCCTTTTGTGTCGATTTAAATGTCGATTCTCAGTGACGCGTGTTAATGTTGATGTTAAATTACACGGATGGATGAATTCTCTTTCAAACACAGATAAGTCCAGGTTCAGTAATCATCATCATCAGCATCCTCATCATGATGTTGTGCCATTGTATGTCACACAGAGAACGCAGTCTATTGCTACACTGCGTTTTATACCACGCAATATTTGCGATTTTATGGATATAATCTAGCCCTGTAAGCCTGGTCTCTCAGCTTTCGTTTAATTATAGTGCTACCTCGGTATCTTCTTCTTCTTCTCTTCCACCTTGTACCTCATCGAAGTGTCGGGGGCAGATGTAATGTTCGTTGATGAGCTCTGTCAAGAGCACTATTAAGACTGATTTTCATTTCTGTAAGGCTGTTTTTAATGTCATCACTCCATATTTTCCTAGGTCTTCCACTCGCTCTATACCCGTTGTAACGTTTTAGTGTGGCTTGCTGTGGCAGATAGTACCAGGGATTTCTTGTTAGGTGTCCAAACCACTTCATTTGTTGTTCTTTGATGACCTGTAAGGCTAGCTTTATTTCTAGCATTCGTCTGATTTCGGTATACACACACTTTAATCGCTCTTAGGATAAGGACTTAGAAATAAGGAAATAATGATTAATCCGTTTCCATGATAATAAAAATCCTATTGTTATCGTCATATTATACATTGGTAAAGTAAAAAGTGAAGATCCTTTTTTACGCCTTAGGTGCATCGGGCATATAGGAAGAGCATCCTATATTTTTACAGACCAATCGGCACTAGGTGGGTAATGTGGTCAGCATTACGCCAGCCGTCTTTAATTCCCCAGGACAGCCATCCTGATACCCATTTTAGGCTGGGTCGACCTGCGATGCCCCATACCATGATAACGTTGGAATTAGGATTCAGACTCGCAACGCCTAAGACACAAACGCTGCTCGTTTTACATTGGTACGGTTGTAAAAAATAATTTGCATACTGCCTAATCCTAAAATACATAAATACAAAAGAAGTTAGATTAAATATATGAAGATTTAACCTCACTTTATCTTCCTGTGAAGAGACGAGTGCCTACTAGGATGGTGCGAAGAAGGAAAGAGAAGGAGATGTTATTGTTTGAAAGGACAGTCAGCTTCCAACAAAACTTAAGGAATCTAAAATTCTGGTGTTTCATTTCTCTGTCTTTTCTCTTTTCTTTATCTGTCTCTTTTCGCTACACCGAGCCTAATCGTGGCACGTCAGGTTTGACGTTTACTAAAAATCTGTCAAAGGAAACTTGTCTGCCTTCTCAGGATGTTTCGTAGATGTGCTATCTTGTACTAGAACGGAGACGCCTTTAGTACCAAGAAAAAATACAGAAAAATAGTTCGTTAGGCGGGGACTAAAAACCGAAATATTCTAGTCCAGACACGAGATCTTCTGTGTAAAGTCTAGATCAGCCAAACAACAAATAAACGAAACTAGGCACATTAACCCCAAGCCCTAATCTTAACCAAAACAACTTGAACTATAATTACCACATTCAACATCTGTTTATTTCACTGAAAATAAGCTTAGTTCTTCACAAACCAGCACCGGTGACAATTCCAACTTGTTTGGGCTTTTTAGGGTGATATTTCTTTGCAAAGTCGCTGACATCTATCAGTGGCTTTGTCACAAAAGCTGTAAAACAAAGACAGCGCGCGGTGTCGTGATCGGTTTCGTCGTAAAGCTTAGGCAAGGAAAGACAAAGAAGTATAAAATACCCACACTGTGGTTCTGGTTCAGCTATCTTCTTTTGACTTTTAACAGGCAGTTCTCTGCCATTTCACTTGCCAAGTGCAGACATTTTACTTGCCAATTCCCCTGCTCGTTCACTTACAAATTTCTCCGCCTTTCACTTACCAGTTTTCCCTGTCCTTTCACTTACCAATTCTCCTGACCTTTCACTCACCAATCCCCTGCCCTTTCACTCACCAATCCCCCTGCCCTTTCACTTAACAATTCCCATGTCCTTTCACTTACAGTTCTCCTGCCCTTTCACTTAACAATCCCCCTGCCCTTTCACTTACCAATTCTCCTAACCTTTCACTTACCAATCCCCCTGCCCTTTCACTTACCAATTCTCCTAACCTTTCACTTACCAGTTCTCCTGCCCTTTCACTTACCAGTTCTCCTAATCTTTCACTTACCAATTCGCATAACCTTTCACTTACCAGTTCTCCTGCCCTTTCACTTACCAGTTCTCCTAATCTTTCACTTACCAATTCTCCTAACCTTTCACTTACCGATCCCCCTGCCCTTTCACTTACCAGTTCTCCTGACCTTTCATTTACCAATTCCCCTGACCTTTCACTTGCCAATTCCCATGTCTTTGTACTCACTAATTTCCCTGACCGTTAACTTGCCAGTTCCTCTGCCCTCTTACTTGCCAATTCCACTCGATAATTCATCTTCCTTCTTACTTGCCAATTCCACTGCGCTTTCACTTCTGTTTCTCTGCCCCTTCACTTGCCAATTCCCCATCACCTTCACTTGCTAATTCCCCAGCACCTTCACTTGCTAGGAAAGAACTTTTGTGATGAATTTGAGTTTCCTGTAATTTTCAAACCTACGTGGCTCTAGAGAAGGCCATAAGCATTGCGATATCATGGTGATAGTACCTATAATATATAAGTATTTTCAAATTTTAGAACGGCTAATTATCACATATTCTTTCAGCACTAGACAATACATTACACTATTATTGATTACTGTATATATATATATCGTATGTTGTGGTTTTAACTACTTTTGTCCCTTTAGTCTATTTCCTATTCTCATATTACATAATTGTATTACTTTTACTGGTTTGATAAGATTATTGTATTGTTTCAACTCATGAAGACGCACATATTTTTTTTCCCTTCACAGCAGTAGTAGATAAAGATGGTGAAATAATAGAGATATTAAAATACGAATACAGCCTGCTTCGTTCCTATAATCCCGCCTTTTTCCAGGAAAAATTTCCAAAGAACACTACCTGGGACCTCTGAAGCACGTTTGTCTCCACCTTTCTTAACATGTTTTGTGCGTGATTACACTGACGATATGTATGTACAGCTGCTTCTCAAGCCAACGGAATGCCGCAACCTCCAGTCTGAACTAGACTTTGTTGTACCAAATGTCATCCATTCGATTTCACAAGGAACCGACTCTCTTCTTCTGTCTCTCAAAACCATTTATATGAATAATGACATTATCTGCACGGTAATTATCATAATCCAGTCGTTAATTTCTGCTCTGCCACGTGCTGGCTAATCCCTGCACTTCCGACCAAGTGTGATTAGAACCCTACACAAGTCTGCTTTTTGCTTTTAAGTATTGACCGACGTCTTTTCTTTCCCAATTTTGATCCAACATACACTCATCTCTAGGGGTCATTTAGAGAAGTAGTTCAGAGTATAGTGTGTTTTAATTTTGTTTGTTTGCACAAAATAAGACTCGAAGAAATGTATTCTTATTGGCAAAGGAAAGTAAATGAAAGAAAAGTACGGTTTTTTTAAAATTAAAAAATTCAATATTCACCTATTGGCAAAGGGAAGTAAATGAAAGAAAAGAATATTTTTAAATTCAACGATAACTCCCTTTTTGCACACAGCTTGACCGGCTGGTGGGGGGCAAATTGGGTTGGCATGAAAGTTGAAAAGCAATTAGGGGTTGGGAGTCATGGATTGAGTGGGGAGGGGGTTCCAAATAACCCTTATTAGGCATAACGTAAAGGAGACTAACTGCAGTTTTACAGAAGTCGGGAGTGCTGGGCCAAAAGACACAGAAAAGAGCTTGACTCTAAACCAATGCAAATGAAGAAGAAGAGAAGGAAAAAGAAAGGGAGAGAGGAGGAGGAGGAGAAGAAGAAGAAGCAGAAAAAAAGACAAGGAAGAGGAGAAATAGAGAATTTAAAAAAGGCGAACAGGAAGAAAAGGAAATGAGGGAGGATGAAGAGATAATGATGATTAGGAAGAGGAAGGAACAGAATAAGAAGAAGAAGAAAAGAAGAAGAAAAAGAAGAACAATGAGAAGAAGAAGATGAAGAGATGGAGGAGAGGATAAAGAATAAGAATAGAAAGCAGCAGGAGAATAACAGCAGCAGCAGACGAAGATAAAGAAGAATAATAATTCGACTTGATGCAGCCGCTCTCATTTCTGTGTGGATAATGATGAAATATAACATTTCAGCTTGTTCGCTCTAAACACCATAATCAATTCTCAGCGTTACACATCTTTATTGAGTGAACAATGCGAAATACTCATGTTTTGTTGTTTAATAATAACAACAGTGGAATAACTACAAGACCAGCAAATAAAAACATTAGGTGCGAAGAAAGTCTTTAATATCATCCTCCAGCTCGTATAAGGATTGTGACGCTGGATGACTAGGCCCGGGTGTCACATTGCTGTAGAAGCAACCGTTCGGTGTAGCCTTGATGTACTGTTAAAACACGGATCGCTGTTTTCTGTTGAATTTTGTCTTCTGGCCTGTCGCCTTCTAACAGACCACAAAGACCAGTTTCTCACCTGGAACCCACTTCTAATGTCCGTGTAGGCCAGCCAGGTTAGCGGCATAAGTCCAGGTTTCAGCATGGTGATTACTGCAACCACCGCCCAGGTATATTCAGACTGGCCGCACGGTTCGTAGTTGTTGCTGATGTCTCTCTGGCAGAAGATCTCCATTAGCAGCACAATGAAGAATGGGAACTGAAGAAATACGCAGACAAAGCTGGATAACAGGACAACACGAAGGGAGTCTCGCATCAGAAACCTGGGAATACATTAAATGAGATTTTTTGTGTGTCACAAGTGGCAAAGCAAAACGTTATGTTTGGCTTTCGTTGGCAAAGGAACATAAACAACTATGGTGTGACCCGGTTGCTAAAAAGTTAGAACTGCGATTACCCGATTCTTCTCTTCTTGAGTTGAGTTGAGTCAAGAATTGACATCACAGCACTCGGGGCATTCACATGCTTGCTCTGTCACATCTTCAGCAGCCAGCACAGCGCTCCAATACTGATGGTGCTGGTACCAATCTGGTTGTATGTCCGTCTTGCCTTTTCTCGGAATGCAGTGAGCAGGCCAGACCCTCTGGTTACACCCAGATGCCTCATTCTCTCCAGGCCATAATAATATTCTATATCTAATGATTACGTTGCTTGTTCCCAAATTCTTGACCACATCTGCCCTGTCAAGTTCTCTTCTTCTGCCTTTCTAACCCCAATGGAGCATAGGCTCTCAGGCAACTCACGCCAAATAGTTATATCCTTCGCTATGGCATGCAGCTCTCCCCTTGTCCTCCCCATCTTTTTAACTTCACTTTCAAGCTCCCTTCTCCATGTGATTTTTTGCCTTCCTTTTTTTTTCGCAGGCCCCATGGGTTCCAGTGCACAGCCATTTTATTTTATTGTTCTCATGTTTTCTCAGCGTGTGTCCTATTCAATGCCAGCGCCTTTTCTTCACCTCTTGGTCCGCTGGAACTTGTTTATTTCTCTCCCAAAGCTGATTACCTAATTACCTAATATAAAATCCGGTTGTTGCTATTTCAAATGGTATGGTGGTGCGGTGATTTGGGTGATAGGTATGAGGCAAAATGAAGACTGTTGTGCTGTGTATCTCAGGAACATGTAAGCTCAATGCTGGTTTATAATACCTCATAGAAGATGCCTGCCACACGTCCTCATCGCGCACCACGGATAATGGATACATTGGACTAAACAGAGCTATCACGGGATCTCGGAGCTGTTTGCTCCCAGGGATGCAGTACCCAGAAAACATTTGTCACCCACCAGGCCACCCCCAGAGCGTGGGGGGGGGGGGGGGGGCAGTGTAAGGTGTATCAAAGACACATTTGAAACAAGAGTACTTTGGCACTAGCCGAGCCTCCTACTAAATGGCAACACTCTACTTGATGATACAGAATGTTCTCTTTGGCCACAGTCGTCCAAGAAATGTGATCGACGTCTGAGTGCATGTGCCTCAAAGACAAGGAGACAACAGTCTGGACACACAAAAACCCAGTTCTATAAAACAGATGCGCTCGCAAAACTCAGTCCTAGAACAAAGCCAGAGCCAAATTGAAGAAATGGACGTCAACCAGGACTTTTAGCAGGAGTTTACAGCCGGTGAACGCAAACAGATTATTATTATTACTATTACTTTTATTATTATTATTATTATTATTACTGTTATTATTATTATTATTATTATTATTATTATTATTATTATTATTATTATTATTATTATTATTATTATTGTTATTATTATTATTATTATTATTATTAATATTATTGTTAATTATACAAAATAACGTACTTTTTCAAAGACTTCAGTAAATTTAGTCAGAACAACAAAACACACACCTGTCTAACGTAATTGTAATTTCACGATTCAGTAAACAGTTTAGAACTGACCGAAGAGTATTTAACAGATCAGCGAAAAGACACACTATAGAAGGTCTGATAATGCATTATTTATACCTACAATATATAAAAGTATGAATAATGACAAAATACCCTACAATATATAAAAGTATGAATAATGACAAAATACCCTACAATATATAAAAGTATGAATAATGACAAAATATACTGCTTCTTCCGACTCATCCCTCTCCTCCTACTCCTGTTTTTTTTTCTATGTGGTTCTGAGGGTTAGAGAAAAGTGAAATGGTTTCACAGTGCAATCCACGAAGTTTAACAAGGTTCGATTTCCACACTGAACGGGGAAAAGACTGTTCTCGTTGTTTTCAGAAAGAAGTACGAGAGTTGCACAGTGGAAGAGTTTTAGGGACTCACCACATAATATTGCCAAAGCTAACACTGGGTAGTGGGTACATTGCAACCAGGTTCCATTGTGGACATCGCATGATATGTTTTGTTCACTTAAACGAAGACACTATTGGGATGAGCACAGAGCAAGAAGGGAGCCACTGTGGTGCAGCGGTTAGATGCTCGCTAGAGGTTCAGACTATTTTCGAAAACAACCTTGGCTTCCAGGCCAACCCAGCCTTAAATTGGTACCAGGTAAAAGCAGCTGGCTTGATTCTGACTACATCACTTATCTGTGAAATATAATGCCGGGATGCCGGATTCGATCCCAGCTGCGGGCCATGCGCCTTGCGTTGGTTTCGACAGTGGTATCAAGAAAGCCGACCGTCCAAAAAGCAATGGCAAACTATTGGACGTAAATTTGCCTAGAAAAACCACACAACAACCAGGGGCTGCGTGGGGTTGGTTCTGCAACGTCCTGTAAAGGATACGCAACAACCTTATATGCACAGTACGCATGAAGGCGTGGATAAGGGTAATTTACTTTACAGACAATGGAAACCGTGATCGAAACCTACTGCTGGCTGCGTGGATTTTTATCGTGGTATGGGATGTCGCAGGTCGACCCAGCCTCAAATGGGTACCAGGATAGCTGTCCTGGGGAAGTAAAGACGGCCGACGTAATGCTGATCACATTACTCACCAAGTGCCGATTGGTCTGTAAAAATATGGGTGCTCTTTCCATATGCCCGATGCGCCTACGCGTGTGTAAAGGGATCTTGACTTTTTTTACTTATAGACCATTGAAAGGGTAGGAAACTCATGTCTTGGGAATTGCATACTATAGTTTCATAATACCCCTACATTCAAAACATAAACTATCATAACCTGTCAGGGTAAGGCCCCAGATCTCTCCGCTTGGCAATCACAGAGAAGATCACATAGAGCATCACCACGGCCGCTGTCATTGACAGCACTAAAAAAGCTGGACAGAAGAAGCTGACAAAGACAGTCACTGCCTGGAATTTCTTCTTCCACAGAATCTGGCATGATCTTGTTCCCTGTAGATGAACAGTGAAAAGTGGTTTCAGTGTATACATAACTAACACTATCAGATATGATTTGTGGATAGAAGACCATGTATTGAATATTAAAATTAAGTTAATGATGTGCTTTTAACATTATTTCTAAAGTGCACAATCATCAGTTGTCAGGCTAGATAAGTTCGATCTTCAATAATCTGGATTAATTCTAATGATGTTTTCGTTCTTTAAAAACACGCTATAAAAAATTTCAACTGCTCTAATAAACTGCAGAAATCAAATACTCTTTCACGTAAAACCAAGATCACAATGTAAACAATGCTGAACAATATAAATAATGCTGAGACAAGCAGTTGTCTCATTTGGCTCTGAAACCTGGAGCATAAATGAAAGACATAAAGCCATACTGCACACTTTTGAAAACAGTCTTATAAAGAATCAGTTAACCCAACAAAGATAAACATAGCGAGGAATAGTGATTAGTGATTGAAAGGATTATTATCACAGCACTCCGGACAGATCCATAGGTGCTCCGATCTCCTCCTCAAAAGCTCCAAAAGTGTACAACGACTGATGACGCCTGTTCTGTGTTGGTTAATGAAACGTCTTGTCCCCTTAGTGAAATGTTCATTTCTTGCAGCTTCAGGCTGTCCCCAGTGTCTACTAGTCTAGACAGGGATAGGGAGTACAGCGAGGAATGGAAAATGTAAAGCAATAATAGAATCTATAATCTGTTTAAATCCCCACTGATTACTGACATTTTTCAGGCTAGTAGACGGTAATGACGGGGACATACAGAGAGGATGACAGGTCATAGACACACACACACACACACACACACACACACACACACACACAAAACATTGTGTTAACAAGGGCGTTGAACGGCCGTAGACAAGGAGGAAGACAAGGACGGCGGCGAGGTAATATCCCAGTAGACCTATACACCCTGGAAGTTACTAACTAGAAAGAGAGGGTCAATCACAAAGATGAATGGAGGTGGATGACGTCTGCATTAATGAGCCCAAAGGCATCTAGGAATGCAGAAGAAGAAGGGAAGGACGCTACTTCCTCAATGCCGCCATTGTCGTATTAAGTTTTTCGTTACCATCCAGCTCACAATACGGTCATTAGTTTGTTCAAAGACAATCGTTTTTTTTTTTTGTTGTTGTCTTCTACCTGAGACAGATGTTACATTTAAAGTTTTTCCTCAAAATTGTCATTTTAAATTCTACTTCCGGTTCCTGTTATTTTTTAACTTTATATAACTTTTTAGAACTTCCTGCTAGAATGTCTAAGGAGGAGAGAGAGAGAGAGAGAGAGAGAGAGAGAGAGAGAGAGAGAGAGAGAGAAAGATAAATATATATATATAATATATATATATATATATATATATCAATATAGAGATAGAGAGAGTTACAGTTATTGCACTGGTACTGACAAAGTAAGCCACAAGTACAATTTTTGTTCTCTGTAACATGAGTTTCGAAGACTTAAGCTGCTTCCTATATACCATAACCTTTTATAGAAAAAAAAATGTGCGGATACTCACCACTAGTGTTTCTAAAATGGTTCAATTATTCACCACAAAGTGTCTTTTACATTAGCGCTGAAAAAAAAGGTGCCTAAACAAGTGCCGGTATTGCGTACCGTTTGGTACCGCCAGAGAAAAACCCTGCTATTACTATCGTTTAAATGAATACTTTAGAAAGTGCTTCCCAATTGGACTCGCGAGGTCCACAATACAAATTAAAAGGGTTCTCGATATCTTATTTAAAAATAATTACCTTAGCCCCATTTTCTGCGATTATTTTAACAGATATACTGTTGTATACCCCACCCCAACCCTTTCTAAATATGACTATTAAAAAGTAAAGAGTATATTGTAGGCCTAAAAGAGATCCGCGAGTCTGATCTAAATCGAAATATCTGTCATTGAAGATGATATGTATGTCGTACCTCGTTGAAAGACGCCCTGGCCCCATTGAGAAACATGGGGACGACCAGCGCTGAACCTATGACCCAAGGAAGAGCTGTAAGTACTGTGGTGACGCAATTTTTCCCAGAACCGTCCATCATGCGAGGGGTGAGAAGGTAGTAAAACCGCTCCACAATGAGGACAAGAACTGACAAGGTGGAAATTGAAACCTGGGCATAGAAGATGACCTCGTACACGATACATGTGTCTACGTCGTGTCTCCAAGTGCCCTGTGAAACATAAATGTGAAGACAGATTGAATGTGTCTTTATCGTTAGTTTATATATCTGTCAACAGTGTGTGCTCTGTGAAATATATATGTGTATAGTGATTGAATGTGTTTTTTTATCGTTATTTTATATTTGTGTAAACGGCGTGTGCCCTGTGAAACATAAATGTGTAGAGAGACTGAATATGTCCC